CCCCGCCCCCCGCCCCTGGCCCACCTTGGTAAGAGGAAGGCATTGGGGAACCTGGGAGCCCAACTGCCCACACCCTTGTTCTTGAACGCAGAGGCGATGCTCCATCTGGGGGGTCTCTTCTGGTCTGTGTGCAGCCATAGCCCCAACTCAAGGGCACACACTCCCCACTGCCAATTCAAACTGCCTCCTCCAAGGTGTTACCTCATTTGGGGAGTGAGGGACCAACGTAGAGAAGGGCGAACTTGAGAGACCCTCTTCCCGTATTCACAGGGTCCCATGCACGTCAGCTGGCCCCGGCACACCCTGAGTAATGGCCCTGGCGAGGAACCGCGGCTCTAGGCCCTTTACACGACACTCACACTGCAGTAGTAGGGCCTGGGGTGTTCGCCCGTAACCCAAACCTATCTCAGCTTTCCCTCTGGCCTGACCAGTGGTCTGACTCCAAAGAGATCTGGTCCCCGGCTTCAGGCATCGTCCCCCTCCTTCACCTACCCGTAGAGGGTGTTTTCTCTTTCTGACTCCTCTCGTCCAGGCCTGGGCTCCCTTTCTGAGGCTTCAACCCCTTGACCCACAGCAGCAACAGGATGGATGCCAGGAATGCTGCCCTGCAGAGCTGGGAGCCCAGGGAAGTCATGGGCCTTCCCTAGTCCCCAGTGCCCGGCAGGACCCCCTCCTCCCTCCCCTGTCCGTTGTCCCGGCCCTTACCCCTTCCCAGCACCGTTTTCTCCCCTTCCCTTCCATAGGACCTCTGATGTCATGAGCTCTGTGACATCACAGTCGTGGGCCTGACCCTCATCCGTCCTCTTGGAGAGTTCCGTTGGCAGGCAAGAGTGTGGAGAGTGGCTAGCAGGGGGCAACTGAGGCTTCCAGGATGACCATGGTGGGCCATTCTATGCAGAGCCACAGCAATGACTTAAGTTTGTGGAGTCCTTTCATGTCCATTATATCATTAGATCCACATAGTAACCAGGACTCAAAGCCACGGTATTGCCATACCCATTATATAGATGAGGAAACCGAGGTTCACAAAAGAAATGATTCGCCCACTGAAGATCACACAGATAATAAGGTGCAGGGCAGGGCTCTTGGCCGATTCTTTAGATTCTAAATATCACACCTTCCCACTCCTCTGTACAGCCTTTCTCAAGGGAAAGCGACTTGCATAAACTGAGACCCAGACCGGATGTCGAAATGGGGATCTTCAAGTCCTGGGCTGTGCGTGAAACTCAGCTCCGTCAGAAATGAAGGACGGGGAGGGCGTAGGTGGAGGAGGGGATGGGTACCTGCTCTGGGTGTGAGAGAGACAGAGAGCAGAGTGCCTTGGACCCAAGTGGAAACCTTTCTCTCACTCATCGTCCTCTCCCGGACTTCCCTCTATTCCTAGCCATTGTCCTCTTGTACTGGTAGACTGAACACCGTCTTCCCTCATTCCACATCCTCCTGTACTCAGACAGACACAGAGGAAAAGTTGTTAGAGACCCAGTGTCTAAACTCCATCTCTAAAGGGTGGGAGGAGTTACAGTCTTCAGAGAAAAATCAGTGTGGCAGACAGAGGCAAGGATCCCAAGTAACGGATCTCAAGAGACCTGCCTTCACGTCCCAGTGCCTGCCCCTGCCCGCCCCTGCCCATGACCCTGGTGAGCACAGACCTGTTGGTAATGGGCTGTGGCTTATTAGCATCTGCTTCCTGGAGCAGAGACATGGGGAGACAGGATGAAGCCCCACCCTGAAAAACCAGAGACAGATACTGGCCATGAGCGACAGGAGGGGGTGCCGGAACAGGTGGGAGGGGGGGGGTCTTAGACACTCTGGAACTATCACCGCCAGCTCACACCGTTCCTGGCGTCCACGTACCCCGCACCTGAAGGAACCGCCAAGTGCAGGGGTGAGGATGTGCACAGAAACACGTACCCTTCCTGAAAGAGGGGATCGCAGAAATGGAAGGGCCCGTGGAGCTTCCCTCCCACGGATGCCTCCCATGCCGGCAGACGGGCTTATCGGGAGACTCTCCTAGACAGCCGACACGGCCTCCTGTATACTTCCTGGTGATCCAAGCCAGGTGACAGGGTGACTGGGGAGCGGTACATGAGGTCACTTAATGATGGGAGAGGCAAGATTCAAGTAAGCAGGTGACCCTGTTCACCTGTCCCTTGCACTCGTTGACCTGCAGGTTCAGGAAATGATGCTTGAATGGAAAAAAGTCACTAACAACCTCCTGGCTATTTGGGGGAGGAGCCTCTTGGTTCAAGGCTAAATGAGAAGCCATCTCCGGCTCTGTGAGTTTGCCTGGGGAGGGTAGTTGGGCGTCGGGGTGTCTTACAGGGGCGGCTGGAGAGGAAAGAACTGGGTGGCACCGTTACCAGTGCCCCCATTCCCTCACCACCCGCCTGCCTGATGCCCTGTGCGGAGGAGATAAATCCTTGTAGGAAACCAGGGACTCCTTCACATTTTTTTCTTATTACGAAAGTATGTTAAAAAATTATGAAAAGCGAAAAAGGCAAATAATTCCACCATCCAATGACAATTCCTTTTCATGTTTTAAAGGATGGTATTCAAATTCTTCCCCTACATGGCTGTGGGCAGGTGGGGTGGGAGGGTATGACCTAAACATTGAAATCTGGGTTTATATGTTTTCCTCCTCATCATCCCAACAGAAAAAGAGATCTGGCTCCCTTGGCACCAAGGGTCTCTGGGATAAGACAGGGAAGTCGGGGCCCTGGACCAGCTCTTACATACATACTCGTGCTAGACCCCGAGGCATCATCTTGCAGGGAAGATGCTACCTGAGGGAGAGAGCTTGTAGGACTCCTTGCCTGCAGAAAGCTGCCGGAGAATGAGGACGATGTGGGGACGGGGAGGGAAGCCAGAGGACAGAAGAGGAGAGAACTCCTTAAAGATGAGGAAGGCCATTTCTGAATCTCAATCCTACCAGGTAGGACAGGAGGGACAGCTTGGTCCCCTTCAGGCAGCTTGTTCCTGCCCCTCTCGTCGGAGAGGACAGTGCAGGCAAAGGAGCCGCAAGTGGGAGGGGGAGACCCAGAGGTGGAGGCCCACGCATGGAGGGGGCCCCCCTTTCCTCCTCCTCTGGGACCCGAGGACCATGCCCTTGGTGGCCAGCCCTGCACACCTGCTCTGTGCGGCTCTGACCGGGCCCTCCCGCCTCCACTCCCTCCAGGACTAGCATTAGGGCTTGAGTGTTTCCCGGGCAGGTGTTCCTTTCCTCTGCTGGCCTCTTATCAGCACATCTACACCCCCAGCTCACCCTTATCGCTCCCTCCATCTCCTTAGACTGCAAGTCCCAAGGCTTCAGAGGTCATTGCAACCCCACACTGCTCCAACCCCCAGCAAAGCAGAATTTACAGATTAGAAGACTGATTTTACAGATTAGAAGACTGAGGCTCACCTAACTGCTTTGCAAGGACTCAGAGCCAGCATTCAAACCTGGACCTGCCTGATTGCGGAGCTGGAGGGCTTTGCTTCCGTACTCTCTTGCATCCAAGGTAATTGCTCACCTGGCCTGTGGGACCCACCTTTAGGCTCCCAGTCCAGATTCCTGGGCCACACCCCTCTCCTGTCCCGGTCTCAGCCGCCCTAGCCCACTGATAGGAACAAAGTCCTTCCCCCTCCCCTCCCAGCTCTGGGGCAGGCTCTGTGCCCCAGGGCTCTCTCTAGAAAGAGCTCCTCCCCTCCAGGTAAAGCCTCTCTCTCTCCCGGCAGGGCCCCCAGTCCCCTCAGTGCACGTGCACACGTCCCCACAGCCCACAGCGCACACAGGGCACCCTGGAGATACACTCGCTCTCCATCCCAGCCCCTGCCTGCTCGCCCCCGCTTCAGCTGAGTCCTAGACCCGCTCCCTTGAACCACATCCCCGTAACTTGCCAGTGCCCGAAAGGAGAAAACATGGGGCCCCCTCCACCCAAGGCCAGGGGACTCTGGATCCAACTCCAGAAACTTCTGACCTCCTGGCTGGCGGGACAGCAAGACTGGGACCAGCATCTGGACGAGGCCTACATGCTGCAACAGAAGAGGTAGGCTGCCCCTCCTCTCCCTGAGCCTCAAACCCTCTGCCCACTGGGGTCTGTCTCCCCGCCAGAGCAATCCAGAGTTCAGTGCCAGGCACCGGGATGGGCCCAGCGCACCTGTCACCAAAGCCCGGCTCCTCTGTCAGTGCCGGCGTGGTGTGTGGCATTGGGCCACAGGGAAGAGGGGGCGGAATGATGCCAGGGCTCTCACCTGGTGGAGAAGGGGAGCGGGGGACCCAGAGGGACCAGGCAGGAGAAGCCAGGAGGTATGGCAGGCAGGTGGGTGCGGACTGGTGGGGAGCAGGGTGCTGGGGAAGCGCCGAGATCCTGTGGGTTTTAGGACACTTGTTGGTTGAAGAGAGAGTGCGGAGTTACTGCTAACGGGAAGGAGAGGTGATGACGTGCGAACAGGGTAGGAGAGCTCTGGTCTGTGGAACACCTGGAGCTGGCCAGCTACCGGGGAAACCCAGGTGACACTGGGTAGGCCCAGAGGGGACTCATAGAGTCCATCCATCTTTTACTGAGTCTCCTGGGTGCAGGGCTGTGCTAGGTCCCGAGGGAGACAGAGATCGAATAAGGCCTGGGCCTGTTCCTAGAGCAGTTCAGGCAGGACTGGTGCCCCGAGGGCCAGAGCATTTCATGGCCAGCCCTGAGGTCCAGATCCTGGAAGGCTAGCCGGGGCAGGGACCCATCCTGAGGGCAGGCCTCTGCCTCGGGGTGTTCGGGGGACTTGTCTCTCGTCGTCGGAGAGTCGCCGTTAGCAGATCTGGGGGCAGCCAGGGCTGGAGCCACGGGCAGTGGCTTCTCCAGGCCAGAGGCCTGAGCACCAGGGCTGTGAGCAGAGCTCTCAGCACAGGGGTGGACTCTGCAGTCCTGGCCCTGGTCGCTCTGAGCTGGACGCGCTCACACAGAGGGTCTAGGTGAGATGGTGGAGGGAGCTGGCCCTCAGTCCGCCGGGTCCCCCTGGAGAGCTCTACCTTGAAATCAAAACTTCTCCTTCCAATAAAAAGCTTCTTTCCCCTGGCTCCTGGGACCACTGGAAGAGAGGAACTGGGGGCTGGGGGACATCACAGGAACCACCGGTCAGTCTGTTTTCCCGCCCTTCACCTCTCCCCGCCCGACCCTCTACCTACCATCCTGTGTCCACCTTCAGAGCCAACACGTTGCCCAGCAG